GTTAGTAACAGGGTGACATTTTATGGCTTTTCGTATGGTTTCACCCGTAGGTGATACCAAAATAATTCCTAGACCTGCCCCTTTTGTGTTCGATGAACCATCAGTGAATAAAGTCCAAATTCCTGGATTAGACCCGTTGAATATGTGTAGTTCCTTTTCTGCTTCTGGTTGCATCCCTTGGCTAAAATCGGCCACAAAATCTGCTAACACTTATGACTTTATTGCAGTTCTAGGTTGATATGTAATGTCATATTCACTCAATTCTATGGCCCACTTGGCTAACCAACCTGATAACTCATGTTTGTGTAATATATTACGCAGGGGATAGGCAGTGACTCCGGAGATGGGGTGGCATTGAAAATAAGATCTTAATTTCCTAGATGCCATAATTAATGCAAGTGCAAGTTTTTCTAGATGAGGATACCGTGTCTCAGCATCTAATAATGACTTGCTAACATAATAAATTGGAGACTATTTACCTTGGTCTTCACGAACCAAAACAGCACTCACCGCTACTTCTGAAACAGCAAGGTAGATAAGTAACTTTTCCCCATCTTTTGGTTTTGCGAGCAACGGTGGATTTGACAAGTATACTTTCAAGTTTTTGAGCGCTTGCTGACATTCCTCAGACCATTCGAACTGATCCTGCTTTTTTAGAGCTGAAAAGAACTTAAAGCATTTTTCTGATGATTTGGAAATAAATCTTCCCAAGGCTGCAATTCTTCCCGTCAGTCTCTGTACCTCTTTTTTACTCGTAAGCATATCAGGAATTTCCTCAATAGCTTTAATCTGCGCGGGATTTACTTCAATGCCACGGTTAGAAACAAGAAATCCCAAAAACTTACCTGATGAAATTCCAAATGCACATTTCGCGGGATTTAGCTTCATGTTGAATTTACGGAGAATCTGAAATGTATCAGACATGTGCTGAATATGATTCCCTGCTTGTTGGGATTTGACCAGCATATCATCTATGTAGACTTCCATGGTTTTCCCTAAATGTTCTTGGAACATTTTGGTCACCAACCTTTGATATGTGGCCCCAGCGTTTTTGAGGCCAAATGGCATTACTTTGTAACAGTAAGTCCCCCTGTCTGTTATAAATAAAGTTTTTTCCTCATCTAGGGGATCCATTTTGATTTGGTTATACCCTGAATATGCATCTAAAAAACTTAACAATTCATGTCCTGCAGTAGCATCAATTAGTTGATCTATATGTGGTAACGGAAAAGAATCTTTAGGACAAGCTTTGTTTAGGTCAGTGTAATCTACACAAACTCGCCATTTACCATTCTTTTTTGGTACTACTACAGTATTAGCTAACCAATTAGGATACTTTACCTCGCGGATAGACCCAATTTTTAAAAGTTTTTGCACCTCATCTCGAATCACCTGATTTTTGAAAGATCCCTGCTTTCTTTTCTTTTGTTTGACAGGTGGATATGATGGATCTTCATTTAACTTGTGAGTCATTACTTCCGGAGGTATTCCTGTCATATCAGAATGGGACCAGGCAAAACAATCCACGTTAGTTTTCAAAAATTCAGTCAACTTACCTTTCATTTCATGGCTTAAGTTGGCCCCAATGTAGACTTTCCTTTCAGGCCATTGTAGGAATAGTTCTACAGCCTCCAATTCTTCAATCGTCATTTTGATACTTTCATTTTCTTCCGGTTCTTGGATGGAATCGGGCCTCGAGTCTACATCTGTCCGCCCGTGTTCAGTTGAGGCTTGTGTTGCAGCATCCTCAACTAAATTCTGTAATTGCTATTTTTCTTCATTTTTTGCACTTGAATCTGCTACGGAATTGATGCTCCTAGACGCTTGCTGGTCACCGCGGATTTGTCGTATTCCCCATTGTGAAGGGAATTTAATAACTTGATGCAGGGTAGATGGCACATCATCTATTTCGTGAATCCATGGTCTTCCGAGGATCATATTGTAAGCCATGCCCATCTCAACCACCTGAAATTTCGTGTCTTTGACAACTCCTTCTGCGAATGTGGTGAATATTATCTCCCCTTTTGTTACAACGCCCGATTTGTCAAAACCAGATAAGGTGTGCGCCTTGGGTATCAGCTTATATTCAGCTTACATTTCGTTTACCACTCTTAATAGAATGATATCCACGGAGCTGCCTGGATCAATCAAAACTCATTTCACATTAGTGTCATGTACAAGTAAAGATATTACCAGCGCGTCATTGTGTGGGGTTAGTACGCCATCTGCATCTGCATCATCAAATGTAATACTTTCTTCTTCCAAAACACGTCGCACTCGCTTCCCATATGTGACTGTAAGTTTTGAAACTTTCTTGGCTACTGTTACGCCATTGATTTCTTCTCCCCCACTTATGACATTAACAGTCCTTTTTGGTGAAAGGGGTTTTGGGGGCTCCTGTCTGATTTTCATATATGCCTGCTTTCCTTTTTCACTAAATAATTCAGTTAGATACCCTTGTTTCAATAAATGTTCAACTTCACCTTGCAGCAATCTACAATCCGTCGTTTTGTGACCGTGATCATGGTGAAACTCGCACCAATAATCAGGATTCCGCCTATTTGGCTTTGATCTCATTTCTTTTGGCCAGCGTACCTTGTCGCCCATGCTCCTCAAAATAGCCACCAATTCGGACGTGCTTACATTAAAACTGTAATCGCCGATTTTCGCTTTAGAGCTTCTGTCATCCCCATGCGTTTCTCGTGCATTTCGTTCTTTCCCGAACCTTGATGATGAACCCGACTCCCTATCTCTTGATCTATGATCGTACCTGAAGTTATCCTGTTTTGATCGTGAGTCTCTTACTGTCGGTCCCATGTAAGGTTCGTACCTGTTTTTACCGGATCTTTTTTCAGATTCAACCTGCCTTGAATTTATCCTTTCGTCCCTTTGAGATTGAATGATGGTATCCTCTTCTATCCGCAGCTTCGTGCTGTATTTGTTATAAACATCATTCCAAGTCGTAGCTAGAAATTCACGTAGGCTTTCTTTGAGTCTCCTCGTAGCTTCTGAACTCTTTTCGTTTAGATTGCTAGCGAATGCCATCACTGCCCAGTTATCAAGTACACGTGGCAACATCATCCTTTCACGCTGGAACCTGTCTACGAATTCCCTGAGCAGCTCCGTATCTCCTTGCTTTATTTTAAAGATGTCCTCCATCCTTTTCTCAACTTTTTGAGCTCCCGAGTGTGCTTTAATGAATGAATCTGCAAGTTCAGCAAAAGAATCTATAGAATTTTCAGGTAAAAGAGAGCACCATGTTAATGCTCCCTTAGTGAGTGTTTCTCCGAACTTTTTGACCAAAACTGATTCAATTTCCTGCTTGGTTAAGTCGTTGCCTTTTACGCCGGTTGTAAAAGCAGTTACGTGATCTCGTGGATCGGTGGTACCATCGTATTTTGGGATATCGGGCATCTTAAATTTCTTCGGAATTGGTAAAGGAGCAGCACTTGGCTTCCAAGGTTGTTGTGAGTATTTGTCCATATCTATCCCTTTGATTACCGGCGGTACTCCAGGTATTTGCTCTATGCGATCGCTTTGTTCCTTGAGCTGTTTCTGCAAAGTTAGTACTAAGTTTTGTAAATCAGAATTAATTGGGTTACTTGACCTTCCATCACGAGATTCACTAGGAGTTCCCCCGCTGCCATACTCATATAAAAAATTTCCTAACTAAACCAATTGGGGTGATAGACCCGCGAAGCAAAAGCATTTAGAGTTAACGAGTCCGGAGCGAGGATTTTCTAAGGTGTTGTTGTTTAGAGTTGACGTTGGTGGCACAACTGGTAGCTGGTTAGCGAAAGCCTCAAGAGCTTTGCTGACCTGTTGAGCTATTAACTTTTGCAAAGCTTCGTTGATAGCCTCATCATTTTCCAATTGATCATTTGCATTTGATTGAGATCCATCAGGAGTTCCTTCTCGAAATTGTCGAGGAGAACTTTGTGGGGAAGGGACCGGGGTTCCATCACCTTGCAGATTCTCCTGGAGTTGTCGGTCTCTTTGATTGTTGTCATTGACATTTAACATGATTGATTTGACAAAAAAGTTAACTTAGGAAGGAATAGATTATCAGATTCCCGGTAACGGAACTAATTTGTTTAACCAAAAATAGGGATTTCGGTCAAAGCTTTATTTTAGAAGAACTCGGGTTACTGATAATCAAGTAGAAATAAGAATAATTGATGTAAATAATAACTGAATAGAAAGCAAAGTAAATCAGTATATTTCAATAGTCTTTCGTGTCCTTACAAATGTTCAGTCCTCACCTTTTATAGCTATCTCTAAGTAATACGTTTTGTTTATCTCATAATAGAGTCATTATGGACAATTAATGGCATTTAGTGTAACGTTATAATTGGTAATCATAACTGATTCAATACAGATTCCATATCTTTTTCCGTGATTAATGCCCATTAATTACTAACAATACGTATCTATACCTCTTTTGCTATTTAGGTTCATTCTTCTGATGCGACTTCTGAATATCAATAGGTTCGAGCACCTATCCTTTCTGACTTCCTTGTATCTCTGCCCGTGCCTGCTGAAGCTCATGCCTCTTCTACTATTTTTTGCCAACTATCATTCTTTTACCAGTCCACATGTCATGATATGTCACCTCATAATTATTTCTATACATGAACTTAATTTTTCCCAATACAATAATATCTTTACTGTTTGAAATTTTAACCTTTTACGGTTTTACTTATTTACAAACGTTATCCAAACAGTTTCACAAGAGATATCTGTTCTAGTTTACTGAAGTGATAAATTCACCAAGTCTTTGTTAAAATTTCATGCATTAAAAGCTGACGAATTGTTTAAACTAAAATAATGTTTTCTTTTATCATCAAATTTTTTCTTTATTTATAGTAAGCTACAGAATATTGAAATTAAATTCCTTAATAAGAAATTTTCAATACAAGTTATGCTCTATCCAGCTATAATATTACTATTACTACTATATATAAATGTGAAGTGGGTGGACGAACACAGCACTACGAAACCTGTACAAAAAGCAGTATAAATTGTACTAGAAAGTTCGCCTAATTCACATGTACCTCTCAACACAATAACAAATATTGGCAGTATAATTAAAAAATTCAGCACTGTCTCGAATTGTTTCTTCAGTCCATCGACTTTCGTTCTCTTCTTTAAAGTATCTCTCCCAAAATATTTTCCTTCTCTTTTGTTTCTTAATCTGTGCCTCTGTATTTGCTTATTTTTGTGTTTTCCCCTTTCGTTTTATGTGTTAATGCTTGATTTGATTTCGTGTCCATATTTGGTTATGTATCTATGTATCTGTTTCTGTAAAATTGAGCTTTGTGTTTTGGGTGTCATCAAAATTAGGCAAACAGGAGAAGGCGGTATGATCGAATGGTTCAAATAGAGATTCCGACATTGATATTCCTCCTAGGGTAATCATAATATTTCCCTATTCGCAGAACCTCCAGCTTATATTCTTTAATTGTGCTTCATTTCTTCATTATTTTGATTCTGAAAGTTAAATTGTTTAACTTTTACTTTCGCTTTGTAGGTTGATGAGGAATTCTTTTTGAGTACTAGACGATCTTGTGCTCCTTTTTTGGGAAATAGGGAAATATTTTAGGTATTTGCTAAACTTGCTTAGGGCTAACAAAACTGGTACATGATATATAGGAACATCTAAGTTTAATGTACCCGGTTATTTTTAATAGGACTTTGGTGGGCATATGTTAATTTTTCTATTAATTCATGTCAGTAATTGTCTCTAATTTATAATGCATGCTTGGAAATTCAACCTACATTCATGATTTTGTATATTTGGTGGATAGAAATATGATTTTTTGCGTAACCAAACTTAATTTTTTTTGTGTTCCTCTTCAGTTATGAAATATATGTTCATTTCTTGGTATTGCAATCAAAGGTAAAGCACTTGGGAGAAGAACCTACACATTATCAAGAAATTAATGTGCTAAAGTTACATTAAAAAAAATAGGTTTTATAAAATAGTTGTAGAAGAAACTACTACATGGTGTTTGATCTTGTTTGTCAAATTTGAGTGTAACGGTGAATAGTTGATTTTGATAGGCCATTTCAGATTTAAAAGATTTAAACGATTTTCTTGTTTAATTTTTAGTTTTAAGGCTCTTAAGGTGGATCTGGGAATTGTGAAATTTCATTCTTTTCCTTTTTTATTTTCTTTCTTGTGGCTACTTTGAGTGTTATGTCAATGAATGGCTGTCACTATTACCGCAACGCACATTGTGTGCACAGTGTTTGATGATATCCTTGAAATGACCAAATAGTTTCTATTTATCTTTGATGATATCCTTGAAATGACCAAATAGTTTCTATTTATCTTTGATGATATCCTTGAAATGACCAAATAGTTTCTATTTATCTACCAGGTGTCCTATAACATATCAGCTATCTTCCAGGAATCCAAAAGGTACATTATATACTCCTACTTGACAGAATTGGTAAATAATGTATTTGTTATATTTGTAGTTGTGTATAAGAAACATATTGAAGTTATACTCTATTTGCTTACATGTGTTTTCTATTGCACTATTGCTACTTTATCTAATTTTGTGTTAGCAAGAAAAATTAGGTACTATGTTTAATTATTCAGAGTTATACCTCCATTTTCTTGCATGTATAATTTGAAAGTTGAAACTACTGGCTAACTAAGGTTAGCAAGCCTAGAAAGTGGAATGACAGTGGTAAAAAAAACTTAGTATTACTGCCATTAGACTCCCTTATGGATTGTAAGGTTGACCATAATCTTGAAGGAATGTAAGAAATGTTATGAGAAGGCCGAAATACATAAATTATGAGATATCTGGCTTGGTTTTAGGATCAGGTCCTGTTGTCGGAGGCTTGCCAAATATTGAGACTTCTATTACAACAGTTGTGTCGATATTAGTTGGCACAATAGTTAGATAGCCAACCTCAACAAATTGGGAAGTGGATAAGGATTTTGGAACTAATTCTTAGTTGATAAGATATTCTACCATATTTACTCTTGATCATGTTACAAGAACATTGAGAAAAGGCAAAATATCCCTTTACAGGTAAAGCTGCAAAGATTTAACACCTCTTATCAAATGCAATTGTAACCGTTCTTATTTCGTATAAGGTAAATACTTAGCTTCTAGGTGGCATCCTTTTGAAAAGACATGTTCCAGCTATTTTTACATGTGGTCTTTGAGTCCTCAAGCAATAATCAGTTGCACAATCTATTATAAAGATCTAGCAATGTATAACTTAATGTCCTCTTCTAAAAAAAATTCTCTTTTGTGATTTAGAAGTACCTGTAACATGCTAAACTATTACGGCTTAAGGATTTTGAGCACTCAGAGCTGCAAGACATAGCAATGCTTGCAAGTTTTTATTTTGCATATATTCTTGCATATAGTAAAGGGTTGTACAGTCATACCAATGTTGGATTGGTAATTCATGTAGGTTAGTTTGTGCAGCTTTTTACCTACTTTTGACATAACACTGTATTTTACCTTTTTTAATTTTCTACAAAATACTTACTTTGCAGTAATTTATTGTTCTCTATTTGCAGTACTGATATTTTAATGATTAAGTACTTGGCTACATCATGTAATTGACAGGTTCTGATATATTCGTCAAAGACTAAAAAGGAAAAGAAGCTCATCACGGAAAAACTTAAGCAGGTAAAGTGATCAATCTTCGGGGTTAATCCATCACCTCATGTCCAGTATGCAATAAGTTTCTTTCATGGAGATAAAGAATGTACCTTTTTGCAAACACTCAATGTCCTTAATGTAGATATTTTTGTTGACATTTTAGTTATCTTCTGAAGCTTTGTTCCTCAATAAACAGGTCGACTTGACAATGTTGTATCTTGTTTCCTTTAATCCCTTTAAACGTTTGAATTCTTATAGTATAATACAGATTTCCTCTCTCTTCAAAATCTCTCTCGGCGCACGTTAGCGTGGACCAGATAACGTGCGGTTGGAAGCCATGGGAGGGAGAGGCAGACCTAAGAAAAATCACCAACGAAATGCGGTGGTGGAACAACGATCATCGGAAACTAGGAAAGCAGTACTTGAGTTATTTGTATCACCAAAAGGAGCTCGAATTGAAGACCAAGCTGGAAATCTCACTCCAAGGAGCATGCAGAGTGAGATAAGCAAAGGGGAAACAGAACCATCGGGAAGTAGGGACAAATTGAAGATGATTGCAGTTACACCTGCAACTAGTCAAGCTTCAGGAAGTGGATCTGGGAATGGGAAAGCTCAAGAGCAAGCCAGGAAGACCAGCAGCAATGGAACAGTACCATGCAATAGTGGTACTGTTGAGAACAACAAAAATGATGAACCTAGGGAAGTCAAATCGAATCAATCATGGGCAAACGTGGTCGCAGGAAATAAACTTGCTATGAAAGGTATGAACCTGCAATTTGTGGCACCAGTAGTTCAAAATGGAGAGAAAATAGCAAAACTAGAAGTTGAGGATGTTGAGCAGGAGAATGAAAAATGGAGATCTGCAATTGTTCTGTACGTGATAGGGGATTCACCTACCATTGGAGCTATGGAAAGGTTTCTTAGCTCAGTGGGCAAGTTCTCAAGGAAACCACAGATTTACTACCATAACGAGGGATATTTTGTAATTAGATTCAGCAATCTGGAGGAAAGGGATCAAATACTGTATTCTGGGCCTCATACAGTGAATAATAAGCTTGTAATTATGAAGGCATGGACCGAAGATTTCAATATTCATGACGAGGTGTTGAAGACTATTCCATTATGGGTAAGGTTTCCTAATCTGCCACTTAATTGCTGGAGCATGAAAGCTCTATGCAAGATAGGAAGTACTCTGGGGAACCCAATGTGTCACGACCCAAACCGATGGGCCGCGACGGGCACCCGGTACCTTACTTAACCGAGTACCAACGTAATGTATCTTTCTTATTACATCATCATATACACGTGACATACAGACCCAATAGGCTAACATAATCACTTATAAACTCAAAACATAGGCCGACAAGGCCGTAGAATCTTTCACGTACACGACATATGTCTACAAGCCTCTAAGAATACATAAATGTCATAAAGGTCGGGACAGAGTCCCGCCATACCAAACAATACACGTCTAAATCATACTAACCAAATGAGCAACTCCGAAGCAAATGGAGCGCACCAACATCTTCCGCTGAGCTGATAGCCTACTTGGAGGGCTCTCGACCTGTCTATCGGGACATGCGGGCATGATACGCAGCGTCCCCAGGCAAAATGGACGTCAGTACGAATAATGTACCGAGTATGTAAGGCACATAAATAAATACATAAGAGACATGGAAGACATATAGAGTACATGACTCAACCTGTAAGTATGAATAACTTTGTAAATCACAAATTACTTTTAGCGTCATGCATATGCGTATGAATGTCATGTCGTGCGTAGTTACATATTTCATAACATCATCAGCCTCTGAGGGCATACCATCATATCATATCGACCACTGTGGGCAAAATCATCATCGTGTACCAGCTGATCAGGTGGTGGTGCGTATATAACGCCATAACCTTTATGAATAACTTTGTAAATCACAAATTACTTTTAGCATCATGCATATGCGTATGAATGTCATGTCGTGCATAGCTACATATTTCATAACATCATCAGCCTCTGAGGGCATCCCATCATATCATATCGACCACTGTGGGCAAAATCATCATCGTGTACCAGCTGATCAGGTGGTATATATATATAACGTCGTTTGAATCGTATTTACATATATATGCGTATATAACGCCGTTTGAATCATATTTCAGCCACTGTGGGCATTATCATCATCATATACCAGCTGATCAGGTGGTGGTGCGTGTATAACGCCGTAACCTTTTCCCATATCCCATATACCATATACATATATACGCGTATATAACGCCGTTTGAGTCATGGGTCAATGTACATGTATAAATGCATGAAGTGCATATGAAATACGATAACAAAATCTCTCGGTACGTCATAAGACCATTGTACCTCTGATTAATATCATAAAATCATTTTACATATTTTGTGAGACCCGTGAACAGACGATGGAATAATAAGACATATGGAGATTCAAGAACATAGGCACTTCTAATACTTCTATGAATAGAGTCATATATGGAAGTTGTGCCTTTTTTCGTTTCGCTTGTATCATATGGATCATGCCAAAAAGAAAGAAGGGATAGCCTTAACATACCTGGAGTGGGAAAACTCCGTATAATTTTTCGTTGAAAAGCCTTCGATGATTGAACGAAATTGGCCCCTTCTCCTTAGAGATTCATGGACGAAAATTGTGTCTGGTTCCTAAAATTTTGGAACGAAATCACGTGTTTCCTTGAAATTTTGAGAGGAAACGTTTTCTGGTTCTTTTTAAGTTTGGAAGGAATTGTGTTTTTGAATTGTTGAACGAAATGAGTCTGCCTCTCACGTTTTTGGTCTTAAAGACAGAATGCAAATTGTTGTTTGATCTTGAATGAAGAGCTTACAAATTCTAAATGTTCACAAGTCTTCATTTGATAAGACTTCGTAAATTAGCCCCTGTGACACATGTAAAGGTGGATAATGAATCACCTTAAACTAGAGGGGGGAGGGGGGGGGGGGCTGCCACGTTCCTTTTGGTGTGATTTTATTAGTTTTTATCCACTTATTAGTTAACCGGGTAATGTCCCGTTACCCGATAATTAACCAGTTACCCGCATAATTTAAAAATTACCCCAAATTACTTAAAATTCAACTTATTCCTTATATATATATATATATATATATATATATATATATATATATATATATATATATATATTACACATTATACTACCGTGGTCATATGGTACCTTGCATGGTACTAGTTCATAATTATCGGGTATTATCGACCCGTATTTATTCCAAATTGGTCACTTTCAATGAAACTCATTTTCTTTAATCCGTGTACCCCTTTATCCTTCATAATACTTATTTATCAGTTGTTATAAATAGCGTAAGTACGTTAATGTCAAGATGATCTCATCCCCGAGTCTATGTCAATTAACTGAAAACGAAATTTTAACGTACGAAAACGCGAGATGTAACACAATGTATGCAGATGAATGCACCACTGGACAATGAGGATCTCTTATGCACGTATGTTAATTGAAATGGATATAACCAGACCTCTGCCTAGAAGTGTAAAAGTACAGGATCCTAAAGGGAAACTAATTCAACAAGAGGTAGTCTATGATTGGGAACCAACATATTGTGCTAAATGTCTGAAAATAGGACATGATTGTGCTGTGCTAAGGAAGGAGCAACCACAAAGAATGGTCCAACAAAGGAAAATAGCTACAGGTAAACAGGTGTGGCTAAGAACAGATAGGAATGAAACAAATGAAAAGAAAGAACCAGATCAAAAGGCAACAATAGAAGCAGTCCAGCAGGGTGAATCTGTACCAGCAGAGAAAGAAATGCAAGAAAGGGAAGAAGGGTGGATTACAGTACTTGGAAAATCAGCAGCAAGAGCATCTAAGGCTAAACAAAATGAGGGCCAGGGAGTTGCAGAAAAACAAGAGACTCAAAGCATGCACAGCAGAATCAGTTGTGATGTACCAGGTACAAGCAAAGTGCAAACGAGCAGTATAGGGGAACATGAGATTTATTATAAACCTATTTTCATACCAATATGAGTGTGATAACTTGGAATGTTATGGGTTTGAATAAAACATATAAGCAAAAGCTGGTGAGGGAGTTCATAAGAAATAATAATAAAGCTATAATAGCATTGGTTGAGCATAGAGTAAAGGAGCATAGAGAAAATGAGATAACAAAAAAAATAGCACATGGTTGGCACTGGATATCAAATGCTAGTTCAAACAATAAAAGTAGAATATGGGTACTATGGGATCCTAGAATATATAAATTTGATCTGGAAGAGCTTGATGAGCAGTTGGTACATGGGCAGGTTAGTATTTTATCAAGGGTAATCACATTTGGCTTTTCAGCAATATATGGGCTGCATACTATAAAAGATAGGCTAAGTTTGTGGAGGAAGATGAGACAAATACACAGCACACAACAGGGCACATGGCTAGCAATGGGAGACTATAATGCTATCCTACAAGCAGAGGATAGGCAGCATGGTACTGAGGTGCAAGATATAGAGACAAGAGATTTTGAAGGAGTTTCTGATTGATACAGGAATGCATGAACTTCAATATGTGGGAAGGAACTATACATGGACTAATAATCACACTTAGAGTAAAATAGATAGGGGTTTGGTAAATGCAGATTTGATGATGATGATGCCTAATATGAAAGTGCAGGTACTAGAGCCACTAGTGTCTGATCACTCACCTTTAAAACTAATGATAGCACAAGTGCAGGGGAGGAAGAAGAGACCATTCAGATTCTTTGATTGTATAGCTGACCACCACCAATTCCTACAGAAAGTGGAGCAAGTCTGGGAAGAAAGGAGTAAGGGGGTATGATGCAAACAGTATGGAACAAGCTGAAGAGGGTAAAGGAAGTTATCAAAGATATCAACACAAAACATTACAAAGGAGTAGATGAGAGAATAAAAAGAATCAGGGAGGATCTCCAGTCAACTCAGGAAGAAATGAGTTCTAATTTACAGAGGCAAGAACTAATTGAGAAGGAAAAAGCACTAAAGGGTGACCTAGAAAAATGGATTCTGATTGAGGAAAGCATATATAGACAGAGATCAAGAGTGCAATGGCTTAAGCTGGGAGATTCAAACTCAGCTTAGTTCTTTGCTCAGATGAAGAACAGAAGTAATTTGAATGGGATTCAAGTTATCACTAATGATATGGGGGTCCAGCTAGTGTTGGAAGATGATATTGAGGCAGAAATCATGGGGTACTACAAGAAGTTATTGGGTTCAAGTGCTGAAAGTCTTCCAGCTATCAATGCAAATGATATGAAAAGGGGACCAGTTTTGAGCAGGGAACATCAGCTACTGCTTGTCAAGCAAGTGTCCAAGGAAGTGATATGGGAAGCAATGAAGGATATAAATGATCTTAAAGCTCCTGGTTATGATGGACTAAGTGCTGTTTTCTTCAAGAAATCCTGGCCAATCATTGGTCAGGATGTGATAAAGGCTGTACAGGAGTTCTTTGAGTCAAGCCAAATGTTTAGACCTATCAATTGCACTGCCATTACCTTAATACCTAAAGTTAGGAATCCTGCAAGTGTCAAAGATTATAGGCCCATCTCATGTTGTACAGTCCTGTACAAAGTGATATCAAAGATTCTTACCAAGAGACTACAGTGTGTAATTGACTTCCTGATTGTTAGTTCACAGGCAACATTTGTTCCTGGCAGAGTTATAACAGACAATATTATTTTGAGCCATGAACTGGTGAAAGGATATGGGAAAAAAGGAATATCACCAAGATGTATGATGAAGCTGGACATGAAAAAAGCCTATGACTCAATAGAATGAGACTTTATGGAGAAGATATTATATGCAATAGCCTTCCCAGAACAGTTTGTAAGATGGATCATGACATGCATGAGAACTGTGACATATACAATCATGATAAATGGTGCACTAACTAAGCCATTTGATGCTAGGAAGGGACTGAGACAAGGAGACCCTCTTTCACCCTTTCTATTTGTGCTTGCAATGGAGTATTTGACAAGGAAACTAAAGAAACTGGCAGAGATCCCAAACTTTAATTTCCACCCCAAGTGTGCTAAGATGCAAATCTTACAACTTGGTTTTGTTGATGATCTCTTATTATTTTGCAGGGGAGACATTGGATCAGTCAAATTATTATTCCAATGCTTTATGGACTTCTCAAAGGCATCTGGACTGATGATTAATAAGAACAAAAGTTCAATGTTCTTTGGAGGAGTTGCACAAGATGAGCAGGAGGAGATCCTAGAATTTCTGGGAATTCAGAGAGGTACTTTACCAGTCAGATATCTTGGTGCACCCCTGAGTTCCAAAAGAATCTCCATAACACAATACCAG